GTGAGGCGGTTGAGAAGGGTGAGGTCAAACTCACTTACGTAAGCACCAAAGCTCAACCCGCGGACTTCCTCACTAAACCACTCCCTAAGGACTCATTCCGTGCATGCTGTGAGCGTGTTGGATTGAACTTCTAGTGGCTTGGGTGCAAGGGGGAGTGTTGGAGGTTGCGTGGGGGGGGGAGGCTTGCCCCCAACCACCGAATGGTGCTCACCTTCGAGTGAGCTGCAGATTTGCGTGGAGCTGAAGTTTGACTTCGGAAGACTCATCACTTCGGTGCCACATGGCAGCACAAGAAGAATCGAGACTCGGGGAGAATTCGATTCGGTGAAATTCGAGAGTCGAATTTCACCCCTTCGAAATGTTACTCGAACATTCGAGTGTACCGCGGTTCAAGGTTACATGTGCGGTTCGATGTTGATTGCATGCTATAAAACTAGTTGCTTTGTATGCATGTTTCATACTGAAAAACAGAGTTTCCTATACACAGTTTAACTCGACACAAAATCCAGAGAGTTTCCATACCTTCAACCTAGAGCATAGCCTTCACGTTCAAAGCCATATCTCTCTCGTTTCTTAGGCGAACGAAGTGATAGACGGCTCGTTGGAAAGCTAAGACTGAGCTCTAGTGGATTATATAACTCCAAGTTCCTGCAAAGTAGAGGAGAGTCCTTTACATCACGCTTTACTTCCGGCAGAGCTCAAGGAAGCAGTTACTATCCTGTTGCATAAAAAAGGGAGCGAGATCAGTTGAACTACCGACCCATCACGCTTTTGAACTTCACGTACAAGGTGTTGGCAAAAGTCATGGCTGACCGAATGAAGCGGGTGCTTCACCAAGTGATCTCACCAGAGCAGTACGGGTTCATCCCGGGGAGACGGCTGTCGGACGCAGTGGCGATGGTAGCGGATGTCATTGACGTGGGGAAAAATGACAGTGAAGACTGGTACATGCTGTTGGTTGACTTTCAAAAATCCTTTGACTCAGTGTCTCGTGACTTCCTGTTTGAAGTGCTTCGGAAGATGGGTTTTCCAGAGCGCTTCGTCAAGTGGATTGAGGGGCTGCATGAGAACACCACGACGAAGCTGTTAATAAATGGGTGGCTCGGTGAAGGCGTGAACGTGGTTTCGGGGGTCCGGCAAGGCTGCCCGCTGGCTCCTTACCTGTTCCTGTGTGCGGTGGAGCCGTTAGCTCAAGAGGTGGAGAGGGAGAGCCTCGGTCTCAGTAAGGACGGGCAACAGCTTGGCTACGTCGGTTACGCCGACGACACGACACTTATCCTGCATGGCGCGGAGCAGATTGTTAAGGCGGAAGAGATGCTGGACAAGTTCGAGAAAGTGTCGGGACTGGCGACGAACAAGTACGCCAACACTGAACTTTGCTTCTCGTCGGACTCCAAAGCACAAACAGGGTAACCACTCTTCAGCAAGTGATAAACCTTTGGGTCCACCCCCCCCAAAGTGCACCCTTGCTTTAACTGTACGCGGTTCATGTGCGGAACTGTGGAAGGGAACATATGATCTATGATACCGCTTTTGAATATCTCGCACCATACTGAACCTTTTAAAGTCGTCTGTACCCAAACGATAACGACCCACCCCGAGCTGGGCAGTCGCACATGGCCATGTCCAGTTGCTCAAAGGTTCATACGAGCAGGAACAGTAAAACACGGGCGAATCCGCGACCGCTTCCGCGTGCTCGCGAACGGCATGCAGGTCGCGATGGGGAATAGTTTTTTCTGCCCCGGGCAGAAGGCTTCCGCCGGCTCCGCGTCCTGGTGGATTCGACTTCCACCAGGAGAGGGACCTGGTGGGTTTGCGCCCACCAGGGCTCGGATGGACTCATTTCTCCAAGCCAAAGCCACATCCCTGGCACTGTGTGCCTCCGTGGACCCCGATATGGCGACACTATGTTGAACGTTAGGTCACTCTTCCTAGAATTGCGTCAGTCAAGGCCAGATTTTCAAAATTCTGAGGCGTTTTTAGTGATGTTGTCGTCCAGCTAGGCAGCCCACTTCAGCGAATCACGGCAAACAAGGAGATCGAAAATCTTCTCACACGTGTGTTCAACACTAGGTCAGTTGGATGGCACTTGCACATGCTTTCATTAGAAAAGGCATCACTTTCCCGACTATCCACTGTCGAGTTCATAACGTTTAGCGTTTGATATAAAGGGAAGGCTACCGCTCACTTTGGGAAACCAGGCGTTTCAAATCCGGCGTCTCGAAGTACTACTACCTGTGGTAAATACGTCCTGGAATTGTTTCTGCCTTTTCTCTGGCAAGACAGTTGTGCTGGCAATTCTGTTGCCCTCACTCGTCCATTTTCCGTTTGCTTCAGCTCATTGGAATCTGGAATCACAAGGCTCACCTTTTCCCTCAGCTGAAAGGGTTCTTTCCTCCCCAGAGTAGCAGAAGTAACTTCCATTTCCACGCACTTCTTGGCTCCTCAACTTTGTTGTTCATTGACCTTTCGTTTAGCCATGGAGGCCTTCTGCCTTGCCCGACCAGCCCTTGTGGTGGCTCCCCGCACTATCCGCGCACTCCCAGTGCGGTCAGCGCGGTCGCAGGCGAGAGTGGTCTGCGCCATCAAGTTTCCGGGTTTCGGCTTCACTGCCAAGAATGAGAGCGAAGACAACGAGTCTTACGCCGGAGCCGACTCCGCCACGACGTGAGCTTCCAGACCTTCGCCTGATGTCTATCAAAGCTTGACGCCACGGCGTTTTTTTTTCCAATGCTCCGTTCCCTGAGCGGCAATGCCACTTTAGAAGCCATTGGATTTTCTTTCTTGAGGTCCAAAGTTTTCGGTACTCATAGCTCGCCATTCTGTACCGTTTACCATCCCCAGTGTGTTCCCCGCGGAGGCGTGCGACGAGCTCGGAGGCGAGTTCTGCAATGCCGAGGGCGTGTTCGCTGAGGTGAAGCTGGAGTCGAAACCCGAGCCCGTGGTCAAGCAGGTCGAAGGGAGGGATGTCGGCGTGGTCGACTACGACGGCCCTAAGACGTACGTTCGGAGTTGCAATGTGATTCGCATTCATTCTAAATCTACCATGTTGAATGAATGCTATTTACTGTCACATGAAGCCTGACGACTAAGAAAGTCCTACAACGTAGGTCCGAAATCGCAGTCCTTTTTGCATTGAAGAGTCCGTTTTGCATTAAGCATGTGGACCATACTCGCCACGTAAGAGCTGTTTCACGAATCAGTCGCTCGGATTTGTATCCAGGAGTACGTGGTTCGGGCGAGTAGCGTTGGCTTTCTCGTGGCTCTCGAATGGGCTCTTTTCTCTCTTTACTTATTGCTTCTTTCGTGCAGCGTTTTCCCCGGCGAGGCATGCGACGAGCTAGGAGGAGAGTTTTGCGAGCCTGATTACCAGGAGGGCGTTGGTCCCGAGAAGAAGCTCTGAGCGTAAAATAAGCAGTTATACTGGTTAGTACGAGAGTCATGATTGTAAATCCTTTTCTTTATTGCGCAATATCTCGATCCAAGTACCCGTCATATGGACCCGTTTCTTGCAAACAGGGCAACCAGGACCAACCGCGGCCGTTTCTAGAGTCTGACCATGCCTTTAAAAACCTTTGGCGAACCGTTTTCCCGCGTCCCTCCCTACCTCATTCCTTTCTGCACACGCGCACCATTTATCCCTCGCCTCTCTGTTTCTTTGAACAAGCCTGTTGTCCGTGACATTTGCCTCTCCCATCACCAGCTCAGCCTACTTGTCCTATTCTCTCGAAACCCTATCATCGCTTCCCCTCACGTTCCACCCCACTCCCCTATCGAACCTACCCTCCCTGCCCATCGATTCGCGCTTTCCCATTGGGAAAAGTTTAATCCCAGCCCAACACCGTTCACACACAATGCCTGAAAAGTAAGACATCACGCTATTGTCTGTTACTACGGTAGTCTCCATGTGAGTTCCGGACACTCGAAATGCAAGTATTCAGGCTGCTACGTAACTCTAGGTACCGTGAGTTCGGTCATCATCAGGCGTAATGAGAATGAAACCGGTGCAGCCTCAGCTTGGGGAAACCCTGCTGGCGTGCCCTGAAGTCTACTTGAAATGCGTTTGTGGCTGGGGTCAAAATGCCTACTGTATACCGTACCAAATCATCACACCCAGGCATTTACATCTCTTACCAGGAATATTTATGACTTGATCAGTAGAAGCGCAAACAAGTGTAGAAACCGCAGGCACGCACATTCACAGGTAGTTTTGCATTGGAATAACACCTAGGTAGCAGGATCTACGATGGTACTGTGGTTTTTTCTTCACCTGGACAGTCATGTCTACTACGGTAGTCAATTGGTGCTAATTTCCAGGATTTCCTCGTAGCAGGTATGCAGTCCCTTTGCTTGGATGTAGTAGACACAGACAGAACAATTTATATTGGAATGTTGTATTTTGTAAACGATTGGATACCCGTGCAGACTGTATCTGTAGGTATGAAGCTGACTTCCTCTTGCTCTATCCTCCCTTCGCAGATTCCATCCCTTCCTCTTGCTCTGTCCTCCCTTCCCCACCATCTCTCCCCCCCCTTCCCATCCATACTCCCCACTACACATTGTGCAGGGTGAAGCTGTGTCTTATGAAGTAGATGCACTGTCCCGCTGCATCTCTTCCTCGGTCTCCTCAAGATCATCCTCGCAAACCATGCGTACCCCTTCCGGCCGACGACGCATGAGAGCCCTACAGCGTGGCCTGCCCAAAATAGTGACAAGGATGAATGAGCGAGGGTTAAACATGTAACTAGCAGTGTGGGGATGTTTTCAAATGGAGCAGGTTACCTAGCAGTGTGGAGGCGTAGTAATAGAAAACCGGAATGGCTTACCTAACAGGCCCGCCAGTTCGGGCGCGCTTAGCTGTGCCTCTGCCCGTCCCTTGCCGGTGCGACATTTGCATCCAGCCCTCACACTAATGGCAGCTGAGAGTGGTAGACTGGTTTGCGAGGGTGGGGAAGGGTGACGAGCATGGAGGGGGAAGCTGGAACATGTGGTGTGCCAAATCATGCAGTGCAAAACGACAAAGCATGGGGCCCGGTCAGTGTGCGGCAGTTGGGAGACAACATTGCTAAAAAAGGGAGAGGGTGCAGACGAGGGCAGAGAGGGGCCAGGACAGGGTGCAACACGAGGGTGTGACAGGGGCAACAGATTACTGAGGGGAGAGAGGGAAGGGAGGGAGGGGAGTGCAAGGGGTCGAGGGAGGGCAAGGAGGGGAGAGAGGGCTTTGAAGGGATAGAGGGCTGGGAGCCGAAGAGGGGGAGGAGTTGGTTCGGGAGTTGCATCTGTGAGGGGAGGAGAGAGCAGGGGGTTGAGAAAGGGAAGGCGGAGGGCGGAGTAATGCAGGGTGGGGAGTGAGGGAAGTCAGAGAGGAAAGGGGATGGAGACGAGAGAAGGAAGAGGGAGGAGAGAGGCAAGGAAGAGTTGGCGTGATGTACCTGGTTCGGATCTGAGAGTGTTGATGTCACACCCCAAGAGTGGCGCGGCGGCGGTCCGGGTCGAGGTTTGGAGGCTGTGAGCAGAGAGGGGCAGAGGGGCCAACGAGGAGGGCGCTGTGCTGGCGAGGGGAAGAAGGACAGGGTTTAGGGTGAGAGTAGACATAGTGAGAAAGTGATTTAGGCGCAAGGGGACAGTCGACGGCGTAGCGTGATAGGGCAAGGGGGGGAGCATGGAGGTAGCTGCGTGAGAGGGCACAGGGAGCGAGAGAGGGAAGAAGGGTGTAGACAAGTGAGGGAAGTGGGAAAGCAGGGAGTATGGCAGGGAGTGCAGTCATGGGGGAAAAAGGGTGTAAGGAAGCGAGGGAACGGGGGGAAGAAGGGGGGAAGACAGAAACGGGAATGGGCGGAGCAAGGGTGTAGAAAGGGAGGAAAAGGGGGGAGAGGGATGTAGGGCGGAGAGGGTGGAACGGTGGGCGATCGGGGGTAAGGCCGAGAGGGGATAGGGGGAATAAGTGTGGATGGCAGAGAGAGGATAGGGGTAAGGGGAGTGTGTAGGCCAGAGAGGGGATACAGGGAAGATAAGGGTGGGCAGCGAGGGAAAAGGGAGAAGAAGGGAGAGAGGGAGTGCGGGCTGCGTAAGGGAGCATGTAGGTTGCTGCGAGAGGGGGAGACGGGGAGAGTGGGAAAAAGGGAGTAGGGAAGTGAGGGTTGTGGGGGAAGCAGGGAGTATGGCAGAGCAGCTCTGGGGAATAATGGTGTAAGGAAGAGAGGGAACGGGGGGAAGAAAAGCGTACGAGGATGGGAAAAAAGGGGGTAGAGGGGCGTAGGGCGGAGAGGGTGGAAAGGCGGAAGTGTTATAGTCACAGTAGGCTTCAATGTGCCTAAAACGAATGATAGAGTGCACAGTCGGATTTCTGCACAGCGGCTTTAAACGTTCATAGCGATCTGCTCACAACTCCAACTTGGATCTGGAGCGCCTTAACGTTGCCTACAATAGGCAATTTAGATCGCACGATTTCATCAAGAATTGACGACACAGCGTCGGTTTGAACGAACGGCACTATGGCAGCCACTATAGTCTTAGAAACACAAATTAGGAAGAGTTGGAAGAGTTACGAGTTGGGAATGACTCCCAGCTCCTACAAACCCCAAGAGCCGAGATACAGTGATGTGGAACAGTGCCACACTGTCCCCAACCACGAAGGGTCTCGAAACTACCCTTCACTAGGGTCTACACCAACTGAAATGTTACACTACACATTGTAATGTAACGAATCTTGATATCTTGAGGTGTACCCTTTTGGCGAGCTTCGAAATCACTTGAAACTTGCAACCAAGGCTCGGGTTCTTCATCACAAACTCATCCTTGAGTTCTTGATGGGTCTGCTGCACACACCTGCGACACGCCGAACCAGGGCTGACTATTCAAAAAAATCCAGTCTGATGTTCTGGGGGCTCTGAAATTTTTTAGTCTGAGGCATATTTCCCAGAGAATGGCCACTCTGATTTTTCAGGTTCCGCAAAAACACAAGTCTGAAGTACTCAGAACACACTACAACCACTGCAGTACAGTACTGCCACAAATGTAGCACGTGGGGCGCAACGCTAACCAGCTTCCCTCGCTGACACCGCGTAGCTGCAGTGATGGTCCCGCGTGAGTGGAAGAGTGAGCCAAGTTGGCAGATTTCTAAGGGAAAAGGGTGGCAAAAGTTGCCAAGGACAGATTCTGCGCGTGACAGCGCCATGAAGTGTGTTCGTACACTGGCAACATATGACGTAGCGGAATGTACGTAGAAATCACAGATCCGCATTTCAGGATCCGTACTCCCTGTAGTATGAAGACCCATTATCGGCTAAGTCAGTACTCTGAAAATCTCAGGATCCAAAACCAAGTAAGTCTGAGGCACTCATGTTTGAAAATCTTACAAGTCTGAAAAATCAGGATCCGTAGGAAAATACCCTGAGATTTCAGACAATCAGACTATTTTAGTCTGATAAAGTCAGCCCTGCGCCGAACGTTCGACAAGCGACAAAATAGAAACCGCGCACGACAAAATAGAAACCGCGCGGGACACACAAAATGACCGCGTTACACGCGACTAGCGATAATTCGCTATAGACTTGACACACACACACTCGACATCATGACCCATCATACACACAATATTGTGAGCATGAAATATATATTTATTTCATGCCCTCATTCCATTCCATGCACACACGCATGCACGCACACGGACAACAAGCCGAGTGCAAACCGTAGGGTTGCACCAACAGGAAGAAGGGGGGTAAGGCAGAGAGGGGATGGGTGGAAGATGGGTGCCTGGCAGAGAGGGGATGCAGGGAAGATTGGTGTGGGCGGCGAAAGGAAAGGGAGAAGAAGGGTTCCAGGCAGCGAGTGAAAGGGGGAAGATGGATGTAAGGTTGTGAGGGGACAGGTGGATCAAGGGGTGTAAGGGGGTGAGAATGTGTAAGGGGATAGGGGTAAGGGTGATAAAGGATGTGGGGAGGTGGGGGAGGGAGGGAAAGGGGATAGGGTTGGTGAGAGGCAGGGAGGGAAAGGGGATAAGAAGGGTGGGAGGCAGGGAGGGAAAGGAGATAGGAAGGGTGAGAGGCAGGGAGGCAAAGGGGATAAGAAGGGTGAGGAGCAGGGAGGGTAAGGGGATAAGAAGGGTGAGAGGCAGGGAGGGAAAGGGGATAAGAAGGGTGAGAGGCAGGAGGCAAAGGGGATAGGGTTGGTGAGAGGCAGGGAGGGAAAGGAGATAGGAAGGTTGAGAGGCAGGGAGGGAAAGGGGATAAGAAGGGTGGGAGGCAGGGAGGGAAAGGGGATAGGGTTGGTGAGAGGCAGGGAGGGAGGGAAAGGTGATAGGAAGGGTGAGAGGCAGGGAGGCAAAGGGGATAAGAAGGGTGAGAGGCAGGGAGGGTAAGGGGATAAGAAGGGTGAGAGGCAGGGAGGCAAAGGGGATAGGGTTGGTGAGAGGCAGGGAGGGAAAGGAGATAGGAAGGTTGAGAGGCAGGGAGGGAAAGGGGATAAGAAGGGTGGGAGGCAGGGAGGGAAAGGGGATAGGGTTGGTGAGAGGCAGGGAGGGAAAGGGGATAGGGTTGGTGAGAGGCAGGGAGGGAGGGAAAGGGGATAAGAAGGGTGAGAGGCAGGGAGGCAAAGGGGATAGGGTTGGTGAGAGGCAGGGAGGGAAAGGAGATAGGAAGGGGGTAAGGCAGGGAGGGAAAGGAGATAGGAAGGGTGAGAGGCAGGGAGGGAAAGGGGATAAGGTTGGTGATAGGCAGGGACAAGGTGGGATAAGGGGAGTGAGGCAGAGTGGTATGAGGGGGAAAGGGGTATAAGGCAGAGAAGGGAAGGGGGAAGAAAGGTGTAAGGCGGAGGGGGGAGAGGGGGAGGACGGGTGCAGTGTAGAGAGTGACATGGGGGAAGCAGGGAGTACGGCAGAGAGGGATAAGGCGGATTAGGGAGAAGAAGGGTGTTTAGTAGACAAGGGGGAGGGGGACGCATGGTGTAGGGAAGAGAGGGGAAAGGGGGAAGCAGGGCGCAAGGCATACCAGAGAGAGGGGGAAACAGGGTGTAGGGAAGAGGGGGAAAAGCGGTTTAGCAGGACGATAGGGAGAGTACGCTTGGTGGGGAAGAAGGGTGTAAGGTAGAGAGGGGAAGGGGGCGAGAATGGTGAAGGGAAGAGAGGGGAAAAGGGGGCAGAGGAAAAAAAGGAGGAGGGGAAAAGGGGGATGAAGGGCGTAAGGCAGAGAGGGTGTAAAAGCGGAAGAAGGAGGTATGGCAGTGTGGGGAATAGGGGAAGAAGGGCGGGACGGCAGAGAACGCATGGTGGGGATTGAAGGGTTTAACGATGTGCCCGAAAAGGGGGTATAAGGGTGTAGGGCCGTGATGGGAGAGGGGGAAGAAGAGTGTAGGGAAGAGAGGGAAAAGGGGGAAGCAGGGTGCAAGGCACCGAGGTTGGAGACATGGACGAAGGTGGTAATGCAGAGTGGGGAAAGGAAGAAGAAGGGTGTGAGGCAGAGAGGGGAAAGGGGGAAGCAGGCGTTAGGCTGTGAACTCATGGTGCAATGAGAAAAGTGTAAGGAGAGTGGGGGAAGGGAGACGCAGGGCATAAGGATGTGAGGGGAAAGAAGAAGTAGGCTGAAGTGAAGAGAGGGAAAGGGGGGAAGGTGGGCGTAAGGCCCAGAGGGTGGAAAGGAGGTTGAAGGGGGTGTGGCAGAGTGGAGAATGGGGGAAAAAGGTTGTAAGACCTCTAACTCATGGCGGGGGAATAAAGGTGTAAGGATGTGAGTGAACGGTGGGGGCATGGGCGTAAGGCAGAGAGGGGAAAGGGGTTCAGTAAGGTGTAAGGAAGAGAGGAAAAAGGAAGTAGCACTTGTGTAAGGCACTGAACGCATGGTGGGGCAAGTAGAGTGTAAGGAGAGAGGGGAAAGGGGGAAGATGGGAGGGAGGCAGAGAGGGGAGATGGGAAAGACGGGTGTAGGGTGGAGAGGGAAAAGGGGGAAGAAGAGTGTAAGGCGTTGAGGGGATAGGTGGAAGAAGGGGGTAAGGGAGTGAGGAAAGAGGGAGAAGGAGGGTGTACAGCGGAGAGGGGAGAACAGGGTGGCGGGTTGAGAAAAGGAACAAAGGGGACCAACGGTGCATTATCTGGTGGTCAAAGGTGGAAGGGGGCTGAAGAGAGCAAGGGAGATAGGGAAAAGGTGGAAGTAGGGGAGTAAGGCAGAGTGGCGTAAAGCAGAGAGGGGGAAGGAGGAGGAAGAGCGTATGGAAGTTGGGAAAAGGGGGAGACTGGCATAAGGCAGAAAGGTGGGAATGGCGGACCGGGTAAGGCAGAGAGGGGACAGGGGGAGGAAGGGTGTAAGGCAGAGAGGGGATAAGGGGGAGTAGGATGGAGGGCAGAGAGGGAAAGAGGGGAAGCAGGGCGTAAGGAAGAGAACGGGAAGAAGGGGGTAAGGCCGAGAGGATGGGGGGAACAAGGGCGTAAGGCAAGGAGGGCAGAGGGGGAATAATGGTGTAGGGAAGACAGGGGAAAGGGGGAAGCAGGGCGTTATGCAGGGGACGCATGGTGGGAGAAGAAGAGTGTAAGATTGAGGGCGAGCGAGGGGAGGATGGGCGTAAGGCAGAGGGGGGTTAGGGGGGAAAAGAGAGTAAGGCCGACAGGTGAAGGGTGGAAAGGGTATGTGACGATGGAAGAACGAGACGCGGTCAGTGCGGAATGGAGATGCTCGCAGAGGGGCGGGGAGTGGAGTAGCCGCAATGTGCGAATGAAGGGGGCGCGGAAATTCAGGAACAGGCACCCGACATGACGATGAGGCATACCAAAGCAGGTGGTGTCGCCGTACCTCGCAATCGCTCAGCACAACCGCGACTTAGCAGCTGATTTTCTGAACTCGCCGCCGCTTGGTGTTGCTGCTCGTCCGCCCGTTGCGCTAATGCCAGCAAGCTACGGTCCGCCCTGCCTAAACCAAAGCAGGGGGGGGGAAGGAGGGGAGGTAGGGTGGAGACGTCGGGGGAGCACGGGGGAGAGGGAGTTTAGGGTTGCAAAGGGGGAATGGACGGGGGCTGCTGCTGCCAAATCTGCTTAGCAGGGAGATGCAGGTGGGTGTCGGAGTGGTGAAGGCGTGGGCGACTTCATGGAGCGAGCGTGTGTGACGGAGGGAACAGCGTCGCGTGCCCGAAGGGAGGGGAGTGAGCGTGGGGATGAATCAGGGGAGTGCGCGGGGGCGGACGAGGGGAGTGTGCGTGGGCGAAAGAGGGGAGTGCGCGGGGACGGCCGCGGGGAGTGAGAAACGGCGAGAGAGGGGAGCGCGCGGGGGCGGACGAGGGGAGTGTGCGTGGGCGAAAGAGGGGAGCGCGCGAGGGCGGAAGAGGGTAGTGTGCGTGGGCGAAGAAGGGGAGTGCGCGTGGGCGGACGAGGGGAGTGTGCGTGGGCGATGTGAGGGAGGGAGCGATGGCGACGTCGACAGGGTGGGCGCGCGATGTGGGGCACAATAAGTGGGGTTGTACGATTCCTCTGCTCACCCTGGGGATTTTCGTTGATCGCGCGGACGTCCTCTCGCATGTATGGGGATATCGCGTGTAACTTAGCGATAAACGTGGATCGCGATGGTTCGCCAATAAAAGAGTCGTGTGTCCGCGAACAACACTACACCCTACTCGAACGAAATGCGTGCGATGGGCGGGTGAGGAGGCGAGACGGTTAGACTAGCTAATCTGCGCTCTTATTGCTGTGTTGGCTGGCGTCATTGTGGCCAAGTGATAACATCGTGTGTGAGGGACCCTGCTTTAGATGGTCGTTGCGTTTGGGTTCACAAACTGCTTTGCGGAACTCAAGTTCCCAACTCCCAGCGGGGGCGCAACAGCTGACGACGGGGGAGAAATACATGGCGCAAGTACGCCAACACTATTTTTTTTTTACGATCGATTTGGGCATATTTTTTTTCCATATTTTAGTTATTTAAAATAAAATGTGAAATAAAAAAACAGGATGCACTAGTCGCTAGCTACATGACCAGTAAGTATTGTCTACATTCAATTGTGATGTGATGGTAGTGATTTTTCTGTTCGCACTACGGCATATTTTTGTATGTCGGATGGTATAGTGGTAATTACGTGACTGTCATGAAATGCATATTTGTTATAAATTATACACTTGTGCTTAGATGAATATAATAATACATGAATGAATATAATGATACATCCTTGCTTGAATGAATATAATGATGCAAATTTTATAAATGCATTATGCAATGATGACAATAATGCTTCAGTATGCATAATGTTTGATGTTGAAATACATGCATACTAGTCTATGATATAAATGCGTGAAAGCTAACGATCCAAAAACTATGCTATCGCATCCCCTGCCTAGCATGGGGGGGAGCTAACAGCATAATCCTTGAACAATCAGCAGTCACATGAAACAACACAATCTGTGAACTCTAAAAAGATGGTCAACTCTATCATCTCCAGCTCAGAAGGGCTCCCGACAGGCGCGCCAATGAACCTTCTAATGAAATGATAGACCTGATTCACCCTTTTAAAACCCACAGACATGCATTGTCATTGCAATGATACATGAATGCACACTTAGACAAGCAAACACATTCACAAGAACCAAACACATGAACAGCAAAAAAACGAGCCAGAATGTCAGAATCCCAACCACTAGACTATTGGGATAAAAGGGCTTGTTTCAGTAGCGGGTCAGTGCGCCCATAACCCCCCCAGGCAAACGCGCCTGTAACCCCCCTAGGATCGATCGGGGATCTCACAGTGTAGCTCTACTGACACCCCCCCACACTGGGAGGCCCAGGACTGAGCACAGTGGCAACGGCCAACATGTGCATACACCGGGATTCGAACCCGAGACCGCTCTGATACCATGTCAGAATCCCAACCACTAGACCATTGGGATAAAAGGGCTTTTTTCAGTAGCGGGTCAGTGCGCCCATAACCCCCCAGGCAAACGCGCCTGTAACCCCCTTAGGATCGATCGGGGATCTCACAGTGTAGCTCTACTGACACAGAAACCCACGAAAATACATAAAACATGCAAACAAAGTAAAAATGGCAATATGGTAAATCCTATAAGTGACAACTACAAATTCTCCATATTGGACTCGTCTTCCGGATTAGCAAGACTCCTGAGAACAAAAAAAGAAAAAAAAAAAGATACAGAGAAAAGGAAATAATAGAAAACTGTTAGACATGAATAATCAGGATACAAAATCACGGATGATGAAAAGGTGGAAGCAGAAAACAGAAGCGGAAAACGAAAACAGCAAACTGAAGCAGTAAACATAATGGAGGAAGGATGAAAGGAAGTATGGAAGGTAGGAGGGAAGGAAAGAAGGACGGACGGGAGGAATGAGAGAGCGAGAGCGAGTGCGAGAGAACGAGAGAGAGAGAGAGAGAGAGCGAGAGAGAGAGAGAGAGAGAGAGAAAACGAGAGAGAGAGAGAGAGAGAGAGAGAGAGAGAGAGAACGAGAGAGAGAGAACGAGAGAGAGAGAACGAGAGAGAGAGAACGAGAGAGAGAGAGAGAGAGAGAGAGAGAGAGAGAGAGAGGGAGAGAGAGAGAGAACAAGAGAGAGAGAGAGAGAACGAGAGAGAGAGAGAGAGAGAGAGAGAGAGAGAGAGAGAGAGAGAACGAGAGAGAGAGAGAGAAAACGAGAGAGAGAGAACGAGAGAGAGAGAACGAGAGAGAGAGAACGAGAGAGAGTACGAGAGAGAGAACGAGAGAGAGCACGAGAGAGAGAACGAGAGAGAGAGAGAACGAGAGGGAGAGAATGAGAGGGAGAGAACGAGAGAGAGAGAGAGAGAGAGAGAGAGAGAGAGAGAGAGAGAGAGAGAGAGAGAGAGGCACTAGGAACTAGTCCTTAGCCTCTCTCAAGCCTCTCTTAAGCCTCTCTTAGCCTCTCTTCCCTAGTATATAAGGCCTAGGAGCTCTTGTTTCCAGTCATTGTGTTCTGTTGAGTTCCTTTCACTCTCAGATTCCAGCGGCTCGCGCCGGCCGCCTTCGGCGGCCGCCGCTCGCTAGCGCGGCCTTCGGCCGCGCGTGAGGGGTGAGAAGGAAACTAGGAGAGACAACACATGAGCAGGAAGGCATACAACATGGGGCAGTAGCAACAACAACAACAACAACACCCCCAGGGTGAACTTCAACGCCATGGGGAAGCCCAAGGGCCAGCCCAAAACCAAGGTGGCTGGCAAGGGAAAGAAAGTGGCTACTCGGAGAGGATCCAGCATAACCGCCCGTCCATCCAGCGCAGGACGGATGCTGCTGCTGACACGAGGCCGAGTGGTGCCAGCAAGCTCCAGCAAAGCCAGGGGGCCGGGCCCGAGAGCAGCGCCAGGGGAGCCAGGCAAGTACCCAATCAGGGGGAGGAACTGCTGCAACTCCGCCGCGGCAGCCTCCGCCGCCGCCAGCTCCGTCGGCAGCAGACCCTGGATCTCCAGCCCTTGCCGCTCCAGGCACAGGTGGAGCTGGTCGAGGAGGTAAGACAGCAGGGACAAGCACGTCCCCACGTTCATTGCGCGCTCTGCGACGCCATCAGGGGAGCCCTCGCCCGTCGGACTCCATGGCGCGTCAGGAACCACAGCTGGAGCTGGCGGCGACGCTGGAGGAGCCCACTGCCCCCACGGTATCGGCACCTCGCGCCCACCAACGAAGAGGCGAGGGAAGGCGCCCGCGGACGGACCATCCTGGGGAAGGGGGGGGTTACGGGGAAGAACAAACGGAGGGGCGGGTGACACGGGGGGTGAACGTCGCTGGGGCTGCAATGGTGGCGGAAACCAATGGCGAGAAGGCGGTCGAGGGGGCGGGGGCTGCGGGGGCGGTGGCTGAGGCGGCAGTTGCGGTGGTGCCTGGCGCTGCTGCTGCTGACGGGACAGCCGCTGCCTCTGACGGCGGCTCAGTTTCACCCTCTGCCACCCCCCTGGCTGCATCGCGGCTGGCTGAGGAGCGGGTGCTGGTTGCGGAACCGGGACAGCAGGAGGAAGAGGGGGCGGGGCTGGCGGCGTCCCCGGCGCCGGTGGTTGCGGCGGTGATCGCTGCGGTTGTGACGGCGGCGGTGGGAACACAGGATGGTGGAACGAGCGCGGAGGGAGTAGGGGCTGCCGCTGAGTTCGCCGGGATGCCTGTTGCTGACGAGGGCGCAGGAACGCAGGAGCGCGACCAGGCGGCGGACGGAAGACAGGGCCGCGGGAAGAGCGCCGCTGCTCCCGCCGCCTGCGGGAAAAAGGGGAAGCGGCCCCGCGCCCAGCCAGCAGCAAGGCGGCCTGGAGCAGGACTGAGGCCTGGTCCCCCGGGACCCCTCCTGGGCTGGCTGCGGCAAGGGCAGTCGCCACAAGAGCCAGGGCTTCCGTCGTCATCAAGGGGCGCGGCGGCGGTACAGCAGGAGCCACAGGTGCCAGTGGCAACGCCGTTCGTGATGCAGGTAGCACCAACGCAGGGGCCGGAGGGTTCCAGCAGCGGTGCCGATGGGGCGCCCCCAGCGACAGTTCCAACGGCGGCAGCGGCCGGCACGTGTGAGGCAGTGGCGGCGACGACCGGCGTGAGACGCTCGGCTAGACTCGGTTCCGTCACCTGGGGACCGCCACGGGGCGGTCGAACTCCGTGGATGCCGGCAGGCCGCGGGGGCAACGCAACGGCGGGAACGACGGGAAATCTGCGCGGGGGCCTAAGGGGAGGCAGGGGAGGGCGCAACGCAGCACCCAGAACTGAGATCCCTGCTAGAACGGGCCCTTGGCGGGAACGTCACGCCAGACCTGAGAGAGCAGCCTCAGACGAATGAGGAACCGGAAGCATCTGACAACAATGATGCCGATCCGGAGTTTATGGCTGGGGAGGACGAGGTTTCTGAGGAGATTTCACTGGATGATGAGGAAGCTCCGCCCAGACGGGACAACCCAGCACCACAAACACGAGAAGCGGCGGGGGGAATCCCACCAGCCTCTGTGGAGCCAGCGGAAGCGGCCACGGGAGACACTGATGTTCCATCGCCAGCCGACCTGGCTAGTGATGACGCCATCTGGCACATGGCGGGGGGGTGGAATGTGGACATTCTTCAGCGAAGTGATCAGCCATTCCTTGTCCGCCGTCTGCCAACTCAGCTTCTGGACCGATATTGTCTATGCATGCTGGCAGCTCTCCACCGCCTGGACAAAAATCCAAGCTGCCCAGGGGGATGGATGGTGCTGCTGTTCTTGCCGAGGCTCACCCTGAGGCCAGCACCCGAACCTGCTGTGGGGAGCCGCTGGGCAGCAATTGAGGCACGGCTGCACAAATTCCAGAGGGGCGAGTGGACTGACCTTTTCGAAGAGGCAGGGACCATACCCGCTATTGGTGCTCCGGTACGACACCAGGCTGACGAGGAAGGGGTTTGTGCTAGGGCGGAGGGGTTAATGAAAAAAGGTAACATTTCGAAGGCAGTGTCAGCTTTGCGAACGAGTCCCCTTGCCGAAGCAACTACAGCTACACTCGAAGCGCTGCTAGCGAAGCATCCTGCGGCGGAAAACCAGATCCCAGCCTGGGTTACCGGAATCACCACCTCTGACCTAGCAGCCCCGCTGGACACGCTGCGCGAAATATTGGCGAAGTGCCCGAACGGTGTTGGTGCGGGCCCTTCAGGCACATGTTTCGAGCACCTGAGGGACCCTGCCTTGGCCAACGAAGAGCTGCTACTGCTTTTCGCCAAGGTGGTCAATCAGCTGCTTAGCACTTTCCAACCCGGTCACGTGAGAGAGCTGCTGCTACCTTCCCGCCTCATCGCACTAGAGAAGCCGAACGGCGGAGTACGACCTATAGCGATTGGCGAGGCGATGCTCCGCGTAGTGGCGAAAGTGGCGTTACAAACTCTAGGACCCAAGATAAGGACCTTCTTCCTCCCAGTGCAGTTCGGTGTAGCAGTACCAGGAGGGGCGGAGTGCACAATTCACTCCGTCCGATCCCTACTCCGTGAGGATGAGACACGCATTGCGCTCCAGTTGGATGTTGAGAACGCCTTTAACAGCGTTGAGCGTTCGGCTTTCCTCGGGGCCCTCCAGTGGTCCAACCTTAGTCCTTTGCTTCCCCTCGTCCGCAACCTCTACGACGGCCCCTCACGCCTTCTCACCGATGCTCGTCTGGGAATCGACCACATCCGGAGCTCGCGAGGCGTCAGGCAGGGCGATCCCTTAGGCCCCCTATTGTTCGCGGCGGCCATTCAACCGGCTCTCTTAAGCATCTCGGCGACGATGCCAGAAGTCGCCGTGGTTGCATATGCGGACGACATAACCATAGTCGGACCGAGAGAAGCGGCGAGCAGGGCATTCGCGAAGATTGCAGGTGACCTCGCCGACTGCGGACTCCGCTGCAACATCACCAAGTCCTCGGCGTGGTGCGCCTTACAGGGAATGGAAGCAGATGAGCTTCCTTTGGGCCTGACTGCTGATCCAGGAGGCATTCGGGTCCTGGGTAGTCCGATCGGCAGCAGGGAGTTCTGCACAGGCCAAGTGAGAGCCTCGCTTGAGGATGCTGCGTCACCGCTCCACCTCATCAGCCGGCTCCACCCTCAGTCGGCCCTTCTGATTCTCTCTCGCAGCATCTCCCGCCGCATCTCCTACCTGCTGCGGACGACACCTGCGACGGCGCTGGGCTTGGAGGAGTGGAGGGATTGGAGTGAGGCATTGGTGGGCTCGGCCCTTTCGGCAGCGAAGCTGAACGTCCCAACGTCAGAGCTGGAGCAGAGCCTCCTGTGGCGCCAGGCGACCCTACCCGTTCGGCTCGGCGGCTTGGGAATCATTGACCCCATATCGGAGGCACCCGCGGCTCACATCGCCTCGGTGGCTGCTGCACACTCCCTCCTGCTGCGACTGGACCTCCCCTCAGACTGTCTGCTACACAGGGCCGTCACGCTGCTGGCCCACGACTGGACCCCCCCCCCCCCCGGATTTCAACCCACTGACAGCCCTGGAGGAGGGCCTCCCAGCCCAAGCACAGGCACTTCTCAGCCGATACAGAGCGGACAGTGCGGGCACGGGCAGTCTGCAGCTGGGCCTATCGAAGCAGATCAATCTGCAGCGGGCGGCGGATCTACTAGGCGACACTGTAGTGGACAGACCAGGCAGGCACAGGGGACACGGGATCCGGCTGATAAGTCTGAAAGGGGTGGGGGCAGGCGACTGGCTTCATGCAGTACCGACGAGAGCTGACCTTACCATCTCCCCTGGTCAGTTCTCCTTGGCCCTAGGCCTCCGCCTAGGCATGGAACTGCCAGTAGCTGAGGTGTGCCCATGCAAGCGGCAGGGATCGGGAATTCTGGATAAGAGCTTGCCGAACCATCTGCTTCGCTGCCAGGATGGGGGGGATGCGGTGCGGACGCACAATGCCCTCGTGTATGCTGCGCTACGCATGGCGAATGAAGCAGGCTACAAGACCCTCCATGAGACCTCGGCCTTCTCGCCTCCTGTACTCCGGAAGCGGGCAGACCTAGTCATCCAAGATCAGGAGTCGGGAGAGACCTGGGTGACGGATGTCACTGTCACGGACCCGGTACTACAGGAGAGGGACGTGAGAGCACGTAGGCCGCCAGGCTGGGCGGCAGAGGAGGCCTCGCAGAAGAAGCATCGGCTGTACGAGGGGCGCCCGAGCTATGCTGGCTTCTTCGGCCTGGCGGTTGAGACTTATGGGGCGATGGCGGCTGACACCGTACAATTCCTTCGGTTGTTGGCAACCCATGCAGCCAAGAAAAAGTTTAGGCAGGGCAGACTCACCACCACGGCTGCTCGGCTCACGGCACATTACCGCCAGCGATGGTCGGTGATGCTGCAGCGCAGCCAAGCAATCTCCCTCCTGTCCAAGTCCAACCGAGCAGCAGAGGCGGCTTTCCCACAGGCAGCTGCAGACCCATGGGCCCCACGCTTGGCAGACCTCTGGCAGATGACGTCTGATGAGTACGAGGAGCGGGACGCTCCTGCTAGGGCACCTTAGACGACCGCGGGGAGAGAAAGGAGAGAGAAGGGGCGGCCAGGAGTAGGAGGGAGGGAGTGAGAACACAAAGGCACAGCCACAGGGCAGGAGGAAGAGCAGGGACTAAGGGAGGAGGAGAGCTAGAGGCCGGAAGGAGGGGCAGCTCTCTAGGGACTGGATTGGTGGGTGTTCCTGTGGGCCTGGATTGGTGGGTGCTCTGTCTGATCTCGTTTGGCTTGCTAGCATAGTTTCCAGTTTGCTTGCCTTGCTTAGACCAGTTAGTCCTTCCGCTATGCCATGCCTGTACCTTATGAACACTATCAATACATGACTGCTTGAGAGAGAGAGAGAGAGAGAGAGAGAGAGAGAGAGAGAGAGAGAGAGAGAGAGAGAGAGAGAGAGAGAGAGAGAGAGAGAGAGAACGGGCGAGAGAGAACGGGAGATAGAGAACGGGAGAGTGAGAACGGGAGATTGAGAACGGGAGTGAGAGAACGGGAGAGAGAGAACGGGATGACAAACTTATATGCTATAGTCTGTGTAGGCTGTAGTGGGGTAGCTCATATGGGGTACAACACTTTAGGGTTTCCTACTTGTACTCCTCATGCTGCTCAATGCAACCATTCCTTGTTCTTTCATATGGTATAGAGCAGGTTCCCTAGTGGGAACGTTTCCTAGGGCCCACCACTGAAAAATTTTCCTGCCCGGAGCGTGCTTCCCTCCTGCCCGAGTCGCGCCCCATGTGCCCTCCCTACTGTCGCGCCCCTAGCCCTTAGCGGCCCGTCGCGCCCTCCTCAGGCCCCTCGCGGCCCCCTTTCGCGGCCCCTCACGGCCCCTCTTGCGGCCCCGTCGTCGCCGCTCTAGGCCCCGTCGCCACCCCTCTAGGCCCGTCGCGGCCCCTTTGCGGCCCCGTTGCCGCCTCTAGCGGCCTCGTCGCCGCCCCTCTAGGCCCCTCGCGGCCCCTTCGCGGCCCCGTCGCTGCCCCTCTAGGCCCCTCGCGGCCCCTTCGCGGCCCCGTCGCCGCCTCTCTAGGCCCCGTCGCCGCCCCCCCCAGGCCCCTCGCGGCCCCTTCGCGGCCCCGTCGCCGCCCATTGCGGCCCCGTCGCCGCCCCCTCTAGGCCCCTTACGGCCCCTCTGCGACCCGTCGCCGACCCTAGCGGCCCCGTCGCCGCCCCTAGCGGCCCCGTCGCCGCCCCTGGAGGCCCCGTCGCCGCCCTTCGCGGCCACCTCGCCGCCCTTCACGGCCCCGTCGCCGACCCTAACGGCCCCGTCGCCGACCCTAGCGGCCCCGTCGCCGCCCCTAGCGGCCCCGTCGCCGCTCCTCGCGGCCCAGTTGCCGCCTCTACCGGCCCCTTCACCGCTGAGCCGCCCAGCAGCTGAGCAGCCGAGCCACCACGCCGCCAGCCGCCCAGCAGCCGAGGCGCCCGACAGCCGAGCCGCCCAGCAGCCGAGGCGCCCGACAGCCGAGCCGCCCAGCAGCCGAGGCGCCCGACAGCCGCGCCGCCGAGCCGCCTAGCAGCCGAGCCGCCGTGCCGCCGAGCCGCCCAGCAGCCGAGCCGCCCAACCGCTGAGCAGCCAAGCCGCCGTGCCGCCCAGCAGCCGAGCCGCCGTGCCGCCCTGCCGTCGGGCCACTACTGTTCCTACCGGCGCGCCCCGGCCCTACTCCCTTGGACTGGTGAGCTCACTCCATGCTAGGCCACTGCAGTCATGGCTACCCCCAGTGTCCTTACCTTTGACACTGAGGGTCGTGCTGTTGACTTTGAGGTCTGGGTCGATGACCTCCAGCTGTTCTTACAGTGCGATAGGGCAGACGGACTCTCCCTGTTCGATCTCACCTCTGGTGTCTCTCCTGCCCCGCCTGCTACTGCTGACAGCACTGTTCGCTCACAGTGGGCCACGCGCGATGCTGCTGCACGTCTTGCTGTGCGTCGCCACTTACCGACCACTGAGCGTGCGCACTTTAGCCAGCACAAGAGTGCTAAGACCTTGTACGACGCTGTAGTTGCACGCTACTCTTCCCCTGCCACTGCTGCGCTTAGCCGCCTCATGCTGTCGTACCTGTTCCCTGACCTTGCTGCCTTTCCCACAGTCGCTGACCTCATTACGCACCTTCGCACTAGTGACACTCGCTACCGCGCTGCGCTTCCTGCTGATTTCTGTGCCAAGAACCCCCCCCCCATGTACATCACCCTCTACTACATAGTCACCCGGCTCCCTGACTCCCTTCGCTTAGTCAGGGACCACTTCCTCTCAGTTTGCCCCACCACACTCACCGTTGACCTCCTCGAGGAGCGCCTCCTAGCAGCAGAGAAGAGCATAGTCGCTGTAGGAGCCTCTCGTGGTGACCCTCGCACCCCCGTCTTTGAGGGGTGTTCTCCCTCCCCCCTCTTGCCCTCTGTTGCTTCTGCTGCTGCGGCCGACCTCGTTGGTTTCGAGTCGGTCGGCTCTGCGTCTGCCCCTAGCGGGAAGCGCCGCACCGGCAAGGGCAATGGGGGCAAGGGCGTTGGAGGGGCTAGTGGGGGCGGTGGAGGTGGTGGTGGAGGCAGTGGAGGAGGTGGGGGTGGTGGTGGGAGTGGTGGCGGGGGTGGAGGTGTCGGTGGCAGCAGTGGAGGCGGAGGAGGCGGCGGTGGTGGCGGAGGGAGCGGAGGCGGCGGAGGTGGCGGAGGTGGCGGAGGTGGCGGAGGTGGCGGAGGCAGCGGTGGAGCTGGTCGCCGCTCTGCGCAGAGGAGTGGCTCCGGTGGTGGTCCGCGCCAGCAGCAGCAGCGCAGTCGTGAGACCCTGTCCCCTCAGCAGCTTCGTGAGTGGTACGCTGGGCGTCAGCGGGGTGGGGGTACTGGTCCCTGCACCTACGTCCTCCGTACAGGCGACCGCGCTGGTGAGCAGTGCGGGGGCACGCACTCCACCCAGCGCTTCTTCGGCCGCCTGACGGACGCTTGGCGTCATCAGTTCCCTGACGCCACTGAGATTCCTCGCTGGGGAGAGCTGTCTAGGGCGGGGGTTGCTATCTTTGATCTTGACTATGATGCTATTCTTGCTGCCATGTATGCTGTGTCTACTAGTGATGAGGGTGACTGTTACTTGTGCGTTCCGCCTGACCCGGGCATTGAGCCTGCTGCTCTAGGTGCTGGTGAGGCTGCTGCTCCAGGTGCTAGTGCGTCTGCTGCCCCAGGTGCTGGTGAGTCTGCTCTCTCAGGTACCACGTCGGCTCAGGCCTTGCACACCTTCACCCTTGACTCGGGTGCTTCCCGCTCCTTCTTTCGAGACCGCACCACGCTTACGCCGCTTAGTCGGCCGGTTGCGGTCTCCCTGGCGGACCCCTCTGGGGGTCCTATCCTTGCTAGCTTCTCCACTGTCTTACCGTGTCTGGCAGCCCCCTCTGGCACCCTGTCAGGTCTCTACCTCCCCTCGTTCTCTACGAACTTGGTGAGTGGAGCTGATCTACAGGATCGGGGGGTTGACCAGTTCACGCCTGCGAGTCAGCGGGTGACCCACTGTACGTGTGCTCGGACGGGCCGACACTTGGCCACGTTTACCCGTCAGCCGGGGTCGAGCCTGTACACACTGACCACTGAGTCTCCTCCTGTTGCTGAGTCTGGCCAGGTAGCTGCGTCGAGTCAGGTATTTGCTACAGCGTCCAGGTCTGGTCCTGAGTCTGCGCCCTGCTCGTGTCGTCTCCTGTCCCACCAGACTCTCCTTTGGCACCACCGCCTTGGTCACCCCTCCCTGCCTCGTCTCCGAGGCATGGCCTCACGTGTCCTTGTCTCTGGTCTCCCCCGGTCCCTCCCTCCCCTACCTCCGGGGCCTGCCCCTACCTGCGTCCCCTGCGTCGAGGGGCGGCAGCGCGCCGCCCCTCACTCCTCCGAGTTTCCTCCGACAGAGGCTCCCTTGCAGACTCTTCACATGGACGTGTGGGGCCCCGCCCGCATCCGTGGCCAGGGTCACGAGCGTTACTTCCTGTTGGTGGTTGACGACTACTCGCGTTACACCACGGTGTTCCCCTTGCGCAGCAAGGGTGACGTCATTGAGGTGTTGATCGACTGGATCCGCGCAGCTCGTCTCCAGCTCAGAGAGAGTTTCGGCTCGGACTTTCCTGTTCTGCGTCTGCACTCTGACAGAGGCGGGGAGCTTTCCTCTGGCCTTCTGGGAGCCTTCTGTCGTGCACAGGGCATCCGCCAGACCTTCATGCTTCCGGCCTCTCCACAGCAAAATGGGATTGCTGAGCGCCGCATTGGCATGGTCATGGACGTCGCTCGTACGTCCATGATCCATGCGGCTGCTCCCCATTTTCTGTGGCCGTTTGCGGTTCAGTACGCAGCGCATCAGCTCAACCTTCAGCCCCGGGTCTCCTTGCCAGAGACCTCCCCCACCTTGCGGTGGACGGGGAAGGTTGGCGATGCGTCTGCGTTTCGGGTCTGGGGATCTCGGGCGTTTGTCTGCGACTTGTCTGCGGACAAGCTGTCCCCCCGTGCTGTTCCCTGCGTCTTCCTTGGCTTCCCCCCTGACGCGCCTGGTTGGCAGTTTTACCACCCCACCTCGCGCCGTGTTCTGTCCTCCCAGGACGTCACCTTTGACGAGTCGGTGCCTTACTACCGTCTGTTCCCCTACCGCACTGCCCCCCTCCCCCCGCCGCCGCTCTTCCTTGCGCCAGGTCCTCCCCCGGTAGACCCCCTCCCCCCTCAGGGTCCTGCCCCGTCAGGTGTGTCCCAGGTAGACGCAGTTGAGCCTGTCGAGGTAGCTGTTGACTCTGGTGCTGCTGGGGGCACTGGGCCTGCGGGTGCCGGGTCTGCGGGTGCCGGGTCTGGGGGTGCGGAGCCTGGGGGTGCTGAGTCTAGGGGTGCTGAGCCTGGGGGTGCTGAGTCTGGGGGTGCTGAGCCTGGGGGTGCTGAGCCTGGGGGTTCGGAGCCTGGGGGTGCGGAGCCTGGGGGTGCTGGGTCTGCTCGTGTGGCCTCTGGCGGTGCTTCGTCGAGGCGGGAGCTACTCTCTCCTCAGGAGCTGCGCGAGTGGTTTGCCCGGCGCTGGAGCCGTGCTGCTGGAGCTGGAGTTCCTACTGTTGCTGCTGGTCCTCCAGGTGCTCGTCCTGGCTGTTCTGGAGCTGCTGGGACTGGGAGTCCTGCTGGAGGTGCTGCTGGAGCTGCTGGCGGTACTGGAGCTGACGGTCCTGCTAGAGTTGGTGCTACTGGAGCTGCTGGAGCTGGAGCTGCTGGGGGTGCTGGCGCTGGTGGTTCTGCTGGCGCTGGTGCTTCTGAGGGTGCTGGAGTTGGCGTTGTTGGAGCTGGAGGTGCTGCTGGCGCTGGTGCTGCCGCTGGGGGTACTGGTGCTGTCCCTGCTGCTTCTGGAGGCGCTGCGCGGCCGCGGCCGTACTTCGTTCCGCTCCTTGAGCAGGTTCTTGGTCTCCCGCCCTCTACTGGTCCTGCTCCTCCCTTAGCGTGTCCACAGCCTGTCCAGTCACGGTCACAGTTACAGCCCGCCTCCCCCCTGCCTGCTCCTTCTCCCTACACTGGTCCTACTGGAGGTCTTGCTGAGCGTCGTGAGCCTGCGTCTCGTCCTGCGTCGCCTGTTCGTGCTGCTCGCACTAGTGGTCGTGCTCCGCGTCCGCGTCCTCTTGCGGTCCCCGGCACAGACCAGATGGCGCTGCGTCCTTCCACTGCTCCTCTGCGTGTCCCGTTGCCGTCTCCTCCAGAGTCCTCTCTTCCTACTCTTGCTGACCCTGAGCCTGACTCTCTTCGTGCTGCCAGTCCTACTGTCACGCGTCTCCTGGCTACTATTGTCACTGACCCTTCTTTTGAGTCCACTGCTGCGTCTGCCTTGGTTGCTGAGCTCGTTGAATTCGCTGCTCGCTGTCGTCTCGACTACGCTGCTAGTCTTGTCGCTGAGTCTGAGTCTGTCTGTCCTCCGTCCGTCGGGGGTGAGTGTGCTCTTAGCACGGACGTCCTTGAGGACAGGCAGGAGGAGTTCCAGTGTTTTGCTGCTGCTTTGCCTCATCTCGTGTCCACACTGATTGTCCCTGAGGGAGACCTGGATGCACCAGACATCCCGACTCCTCGATCGTACGCTGAGGCGATCGAGGGTCCCTACTCCTCACAGTGGCAGTCAGCCATGGACGCAGAGATGGCTTCCTGGAAGTCCACAGGCACCTACGTCGACGAGGTTCCCCCACCTGGGGCGAACATCGTCAGTGGCATGTGGATTTTCAGGGTGAAGCGGCCGCCGGGTTCTCCGCCTGTCTTCAAGGCGCGTTACGTGGCTCGAGGCTTCAGTCAGCGGCAGGGAGTTGACTACTTTCAGACCTTCTCCCCCACCCCGAAGATGACCACTCTTCGGGTGCTGCTGCACATAGCCGCTCAGCGCGACTACGAGCTTCACTCTCTTGACTTCAGCACAGCTTTCTTGCAGGGCAGCCTGCACGAGGAGATCTGGCTGCGCCGCCCACCTGGCTTCACTGGGTCGTTTCCTCCTGGTACCCAGTGGAGCCTACGGCGGCCAGTCTACGGTCTCCGCCAGGCGCCCCGTGAGTGGCACGACACACTGAGGACTACACTTGCGGCTCTTGGGTTTGCTCCTTCTACTGCCGACCCGTCGCTGTTTCTGCGCACCGACACCTCTTTGCTGCCGTTCTACATCCTCGTGTACATCGACGACTTGGTCTTTGCCACTGCTGACATTGCTGGACTCGCCCACGTGAAGTCCGAGCTGTAGAAGAGACACACGTGCACAGACCTGGGTGAACTGCGCAGCTACCTTGGCTTGCAGATCACCCGGGACAGAGCACAGCGCACCATTACCCTGACTCAGTCACACATGGTGCAGCAGGTCCTTCAGCGCTTCGGCTTCACGTACTCCTCGCCTCAGGCCACTCCTCTGTCTACTCGCCACTCGCTCTCAGCTCTGCCTTCGGATGAGTCCGTAGAGTCGAGTGGCCCGTACCCAGAGCTTGTTGGCTGCCTCATGTACCTGATGACCTGCACTCGACCTGACCTTGCATACCCTCTTAGCATTCTGGCACGCTATGTTGCTCCTGGGAGACACAGACCAGAGCACATGGCTGCAGCGAAGAGGGTGTTGCGCTACTTGTGCAGTACGTCGGGCATGGGGCTAGTGCTTGGAGGGCGACGTCCAGTGGTCCTCACAGGTCACGCAGACGCTTCTTGGGCTGACGACCAGGCTACGCAGCGGTCGTCACAGGGTTACACCTTCAGCCTTGGCTCCGGCTCTGTTTCGTGGCGGTCTACCCGCTCGTCCTCTGTTCTCGGCTCCAGCTGTGAGGCTGAGATCTACGCGGGGGCCATGGCTGCACAGGAGCTACGCTGGCTCACCTACCTGCTGACTGACCTAGGAGAGCCGCCTCGTTCTCCTCCAGTTCTGTACGTAGACAACAAGGCCATGCTGGCCTTGTGTCGGGAGCACAGACTGGAGCACAGAACGAAGCACATTGCTCTTCGCTACTTTCTTGCTCGTGAGCTGCAGCAGCGCGGTCAGCTGCGCCTTGCTTACGTGGCCTCTGAGGCCAACACTGCTGATATCTTTACCAAGGCACTTCCGCCTTGTGATCATCAGCGCTTTTGTACTATGCTAGGTCTTGTGCCTACTTGGCCTCACTTGCTCACTTCTTGACTTTGCTTGTACTGTGATCTAAATATACCTGCACTTGCATGCTTACCCTTGCTAGGTTGAGATCACTGCCTTGTTTGTTCATCTTGATCTATAACTCTGCATGTGAACTGGCCTTGTGGCCTTGTGCTTGTGCTCAAATTGTGTGGTGACGATGTGATCCACCCTGAGCTTGCCCTGCTTCTCTTGACTGGTCTTGTGACCTCTTGTTCTCCCCCACTTTGCCTATGGGGGTGTGTCAAACTTATATGCTATAGTCTGTGTAGGCCGTAGTGGGGTAGCTCATATGGGGTACAACACTTTAGGGTTTCCTACTTGTACTCCTCATGCTGCTC